GCCAGCTTGAGCCAGTGAAGCAACATCCTCCACAACTAGACTGAAGAACAAAAGGACAGCAACTTGTCTGTTCCCCTTCCCCCGATTCCCCAATAAAATCTTAAAAAAAAAAAAAAAGATCTTTGCAATTAAAAAAAAAAGCCTTGTCCAATGGGTGGCCAAGATGGTACCAAGTGACCTCTACCCCACCTTCTCAGAGGAGAGGACAGACAGATGGCAGCCAGAGAGTTTCATGGTTCTCCTGACTCTTAGGTGATGGGCAGGGTTGGGCTCGCACTCTAGTACTTCTACCTCAATGGTTCCATGGTTCTATGATGTCACTGAAGAGAAAAGAATGGGGAGCTAGGCTCAGTGCCAACTGCTTCAATTCCTCTCTCTTTTGGATTCTGATAGTTTTTGGGATGAGGGGAGGTGAGCTGAGTGATCACATGTGTCCCAGCTCAGTCTCCCCTCTAGCCACCTTAGCCTCCACTGCATTTATGGAGAGAAATTAGCCTGTGTGAGTCAACTCCACTGAAACAAGCAGAGCATCTTTTATGAAACTGGTCAAATGAATAACAATGAAAACAGCCTTTTATTCTTCTGTTTTTTAGAAAACTTAAGGAACAAGAGATCTACATTCAAACTGAGCTGGAAAAGAATATTTGGACAAACCGTGATCGTGACAGTGGATGAATCTTCTAGCTAACCTTATGAGCTTTGAAACCAAAGCAATCACTTTCTCCATCATCCTTGTAATTTGCTTCATTTGCATCCTCCTTTTATTGATGGTTTTTTTATATAAAAGGTATAAATCCATGCTGATAAATTGGGATCAGATTTCAGGTCACACTAGCAAATGTATCTAGAAATATTAAAAAATTTAAAATAGAGCAAATAATGCTGTAGCTATCTACTTTTTTTCTATTTCAGAGCTTTAGAAATGCTAATTTCCTGTTTAAAAGTGAAGTTTCATGCTAACCCTTAAAATCAAGATCATTCTTCCTTTTTCTGAATTTTTTCGCTTCTTTCTTTTCAGTTTCCAAAGCAAGAAAGATGATGAGACAGGAAAAGGTCCTTGTACAGATGCTAATAGAGGTGAAGGTTGTTTAGCTGCTAATGTGGAGAAGAACAATTCAGGAGACCAAGAAAAGAAAAAGTTTGTATCATAGAATGTTGTAGAAAGCCATTTCTGTGTGGGATAATAGTTGCTAATCTGCATAAATTTTTAAATCTCTGATTGATTTTCTAGGATTCTCATAAGGCAAATCATGAAGCCTGGCATTCTTGTCCAGAGACAGAGTAAAGAAATGGTGGCCACACACTTAGAAAATAGAGAGGACACAGAGGAGAAAGTGGAGTACAAAAGAAAAGAGAAGCAAGATTCTGAGAACACTGGAGAAAACGGTCAAGAGGTGATGGGCTTTTCAACTCTCAAGGGGAAGTTTAGAATATGTTTGATTGAAAAGGAGGTAAATTCTTTGGTTAGGTACAATGAGGGATGACCTTGCCTGTTATTTAGGTTTGTACCTGGAAGGAGTGTAATATCCACAGTCATTTAAACCACTGTCCTTCGCTTATTGGCTCATGTTATTAAACTATTTACATATGCCAAGCCTCGACATTTGCTCATTCTTCATACCTACATTTTTTGGTTTTTTGTTTTTAATAATTTCCCTTCATTTTGCTGCATTTCTCAGAATCTTAGAATCTTAGAGCTGGAGGAGGGCTTGGATCATCTAGGGATCTAACCCTCCAATGTTACAAATGAGAAAATGACGTGAATTTTTCAAGGTCATTCCTCCACCGTGGCTGAGCCCAGGACCAGACTCTGTGTCTCTGCTCTAGTTCCAGGCTCCTTCCGCAACCACACACAAACACTGCCAGGGCCTTTTCGAGCTCCCTAATAAGAACAACTCACATGTCCTCCCAACATAAGACCTATGCCCAGTTGGAGACAGAATTGTGGTCCAGGCTGCTCTTGGGTTTGACTGCTACTTAGAATAACACGTTACCAAATGCTATTTGAATATGTCAGTATATGCTTTTATAACCATAGAAATATGAAAATGATGGGTTATCACTGCTTATCTATATTATTTATAAATATTTTTTCTCAGTAACAATATACATATAACCTATATTTTTTATTTATTTTTTTCACCTATATTTTTAAAAGCAGGGCTTGTTAACATTCATAAATTAATCATTTATACTGTTTGTCCCATTCTCTCACAGAATGATGAGTTGCAGAAATCACACGTATTTGTCACTGAAACTCCGTCAGTTGTTGATAGCCACAAAAGACCTTTAAAAGGAGTGACATTTTCTAGAGAGGTGATCGTTGTGGATCTTGGGAAGGAATACCCTACCCCTCGAAGCTATACTCGAGAACATAAAGAGAGAAAATGAAGCTCAAAAAGGCTGAGTGTGAAAGAAACATAACCTTAGACTAACAGGGAAATGACTGGGGGTACAAAATCATGTTGAAACAGCAAAATAATGGGAAATTAAGCAAATACAAATAGTATTTTATCTTTGTGCAGAAAGAAGTGGAATACATGCAAAATTCTGTAAGTAAAATACCCAGAGGTTGAATATAACTTTTTGAAACTCAAATCTGAGTTCAAGAAATTGATTGTATTACGTGTCCTTAAAACTCAGTTTTCTCAAACACTGTCTAATGTGAATAAAGTTATTTGTGTTAGTGCAATGTCTGTTAGGTAAATCATTTTCAAGAGGACTTTAGAAATAGCATATATTTTTGAAGCTCTGATCACAGGCATTCATGACCAAGTAACACTACTGCTATCATCATGGAAACTTCCAATAACTAGAACTAGGGTCTCCTACTGCATAACCCCCATTGAACTCAGCCCTGTAACCTTTCTCGTGTTGACAACTGCTTTTTATGATTAATACAAAAAAACCTACCATTACCAACAAAACATCCTGTTATGTTAGGCAAGTCCTGAGATTATATTATTATTGATTTCAGTAGTTTAAAATTTGCTGTCTATATGTTCAATATGACAATACAGACCAGTACATCATCCAAACCACTGTAGTAAACATTTGTGAAATGTGTAAGGTGCTATAAGAGAGATAAAAAGCAGAAAACATAGCATTAAATTCAGGGGTCTAGCACATTGTCATGTATATGGCATACTCTCAGTAAATATTTTTTGAGTGATTGAAAGAATAAATGATAAAATAATTTAGAATATGTAACTAATGCTCAATGGGGGAAGAAGTCCCTCTAATGGGAAGAAGTCCCTGTGGTCTGGGACCATCCCAGTGTAAGGCGGAGGGACTTAATCAATGAAAGGATTGGATACCAGCAGAGAGAAGAGTATATTTCAGATGGGGAAAGGTACAATCCAAGGCAAAGAGGTGAGAATGTGTGTTGAGTTTGGTGGGCACCAGTTAGTTAGAACTGCAGGTTGGCAATGAGGAGAGTTGATGGGTCACTGTGAAGGGTAGTGAGGAGTCAGGGTAAGGCTCTTAGGATTCCAGGCTAGAAGTTTAGGGAGGAGAACAGATTAAAGTAGAGTGGCCTGCAAGGGATGGGGGTCTACAAAAAAATTTATTCTGAGCCCATGAGTTCTCTACAAGCACTTAAAAATTTTGATCTTGTACCTGATGATAATACTTAAACATTTTTAAATTGTGGTAAAATACACATAACATAAAATTTACCGTCTTAACCATTTTTAAGTGCACAATTCAGTAGTGTTAAATACATTCACATTGTACAACCATCACCACATCCATCCACAGAACTCTTTCATCTTGCAAGACTGTAACTCTGTACCCATTAGACACTAACTCCTACAGCCCCTGGTAACCACCAGATTATTTTCTGTCTATGAATTTGACTGCTCTAACTAACTCACATAAATGGAATCACAGTATTTGCCCTTTTGTGACTTCACTTAGAATAATGTTCTCAAGGTTCATCCATGTGTCAAGAATTTCCTTTCTTTCTAAGCCTGAATAGTATTCCATTTGTATGTATATTTCACGTTTTGTTTCTCCATTCATCTGCTGATAGATACTTGGGTTGCTTCTTACCTTCTTTCTATTGTGAATAACGCTGCTGTGAATATTTAAAATTTTAATCTAAGAAAGCTCAGACTTATCTGGATGCCCAGTTATAGCTGCGTATTTTCATATGATGTCATGGTTTCATCGCCCATATCTGCATCTGTATTTATGGAAGCAAGTTCCTTTGTCACAAGCTGAGGAGAAAAGAGTGGAGGAGGAATTAATATATACATGATGCATCTATGTCAAAGTCAATGTCAATTTCCTGGTGACTGACTATCCTAACCAAGGTTTTATAAAAGTTCCCAGAGAAGAAAACAGAGGAAAATTGGCCATCAGTACCCATGATACTGCAGGCACAAGGAATTCTGAAAGGCCATCAGTGCCACTGCTATAGGGGGAGAACAGTCAACAGAACAGCATCTGGTACTAAATGGTATGTGAATTTTATTGGTTTCACACTTTTGTTTGTATTTGGTTTGTAAATTTGTTTTGGTTTTAGAGTTGAGTGGGAGCTGGATGGATAAGAAGCTGATATCCAGTTTTATATTTCTACATATTTTTAAGTAACACTATATATAAGAAACAATTTAAGGCAATACTGGTGGGTCGGGATCCATGAGAACTTTCCTCCAGGATTAGGTTATTGAACAGTAGCAACCAGAAGGTAAATGGAAATGGCTAGAGTGACAATTCAGATTTGAGGGATGAGGATCTGGAATAGGGAGGTGATAGAACACAATGAGAATGTGAAGAAAGAGCGAAGAATGTCCATTTCCGGTTAGATGTGGGAAGAATGAGAGGAGGATGCAAGGATGACCCCTGAGTTTGGATACGTGAGAGACTCAGAAATAGGAAAGTCCAGAGAGGTGACTAATTTGTGGGAAAAGATTGTCTGGGCTTTAGTTCTGTCGAATTTGAGGTGCTCGTCAGAAATTCAACTGAACATACTCAGTGAGCAGGAAAGCTGTAAGACTGTTTCCATTTCCTAAGCTATGGATCCAGTGAAAAATTGTGCAAGTCTTTCTCAATGCCCATTGTTGTTTCTCTTGGAGAGGTGGGGAGAAACTTGCCACTTTTCCTCTTTATTAAGCTGTTAACACAGGGACTTTCTCAAATGACTACCCCCAAGCAGGACACATTACCCAAAGGCTAAAGTGGAAAGGCTTGCTAAATTGGACTATTTTTAAAAAACATCTGTTGAACAAAAAATAACAACATCAAACACCAACAATAAACTGAAAAGACCCATTTTTTGAAAAACATTTTATACTGAAATAATCTCAAATTTGCAGAAAAGTTGCAAGAGTGGTACAAAACTGTGTGCCTTTACTCAGATTCCCCAGCCAACAGTTCACCATGTGTGTTTTTATCATTCTCTCTCTTTATATACACAAATTCATATTTTTTAAGCATTTGAGAGTAAGATGCAAACACATTACATCATCCATCCTTACAGATTTCCTAAAAACAGACATAACCACATGTCAACCATCAATTAACGTTGTTCCACTATTGCCATGTAATCCCCAGGTCTCATTCAAAATTGCCAATTGTCCCAATTTTATTCTTCATTCATTTAATATGTCAGTATGAACTCTTAGATTCCTATTTTATTCAATAGGTTGTAATCTTTTACAATCATTATTTATTTGGATGCTCAGATGTTCCCAGATGTGGCCAGTTTAAGTTGGCTTTTGTGTCCTTTATACATATCTCCAGTATTCCTTCAGCATTTCCTTACTTCCTATACAAGATGTCCCAAGCTCATTCTGTATTTTTTCTTGTCCCGCTTTGGAATCAGCTATTTCTTTAGGGGAGTCTGGTTTTCTGAGACCATGACCAGCATACTAGGTGTGCTCCTTGCTCCTGGGTTATCATTGTTTCCAGACTCAGTGGACATAGGTAGGAAATGCATGTATGTATGAACACATAATACTCATACATGCAGACATATATGTGTGTTATCTACTGCTGCATAACAAATTACTCTCAAACTTAGTGACTTAAATAATAATTCTGTATTGTCTCATGGGTTATGTGGGCTAGGAATTCAAACTAGGCCCAGTGCCTATGGCTTGTCCCTGTTCCATCATGTGTGGGTCCTTGAGGCTGGAAGACTCGGATGCTGGGGCCAGAATCATCCAAAGGTGTGTTCACTCATATATGAAACAGTTGCTGCTGGCTGTCAACTCAGGAGCTGTCACCAGAACGCCTACACATGGGCTTCCTCACACATTGGTGACTGGGTTCCAAGGTCAATGACAACAAGGTGAATGCTGTATCCTTTTTAAGACCTAGCCTTGGAAGTCATGTAGGCACTAAGTCCAGCCCATATTCAATGGCAAGGAGATTATACCCTACCTTTTGAGGGGAAAAGTGTCAAGAAAAAACAAAAAAAGACAACTGTGTGCCTATTTTAAAACCACCACAATATCCATTTCTATAGTGATTTACCCTTATAAAAGATCATGAACTCATATCAACACTTCAATTATGATCCAGTAGGGTTTATTCTAGCTTTACTGGCTCCATGACTCCCCTCACCAGTAGTGAGAAACCTGGTTCCCATTATGCTCCCCTTATTTTTGTATTTGCTCAATCCTCACTAGACATGGGGCCAAATATCCCTGGCTCTTGTACATTGATTTCAGTGAGTATTATGCTGAGAAAGTCTATTTTTTTAAACACGTAGAACAAAGGAAGATTCCTTTATTTTATATAAAGAAATTATTAAGAACATTCACATGCATAAGATTATTTGACCAATAGGAATACAAAAAATACAAATTATTTAGTTTTAAAATGGGCAGAGATAATATGTCATATAGACAGAAAAATAGTGACCAAAATTTTTTTAAATGCTTATTCTAACTTCATAATTAAAATCAAAACAGTGTAGTATATGATTTTTTATGTATAAAATTGTCAAATATTAGAATGATAAATGATACTGGTAAAAGGATACTGGTAAAAGGGGTGGAGGAAAGTATAGATAGATATATAAATTGGTAAATCTTTCTGGGAAATAATTGGGAAGTTTCTGCCAAAATTAAAAGTGCATATGCAGGCAAGAGAAAGAAATGAAAGGCATCTGAATTGGGAATGAAGAAGTTAAATTGTCACTTTTTGCAGATGACATGATGCTATATATATAAAACCCTAAAGACTCCACCAAAAAGCTGATAGAAACAATAAATGATACAGTAAAGTTGCCGGCTACAAAATCAACATACAAAAATCTGTTGTATTCCTATATACTAACAATGAAACCTCAGAAAAAGAAAGACACAATTCCTTTTGCAATTGCAACAGAAAGAATAAAATACCTAGGAATAAACTTAACCAAGGATGTGAAAGACCTCTACACTGAAAGCTATAAGACATTTTTTAAAGAAATTGAAGAAGACACAAAGAAATGGAAAGACATTCCGTGTTCATGGATCGGAAGAATCAACATAGTTTAAATGGCTGTATTACCCAAAGCAATATACAGATTTAATGCAATCCCCATCAAAATCACAATGGCATCTTTATTTTTTAAAGATCTTATTGGGAAATTGGGGAAGGGGAACAGTGATGGGGAATTGGGGAAGGGGAACAGCCAAGTAGTTGTCCTTCAGTCTTAGTTGTGGAGGATGCAGCTTGCTCAGCTTTAAGTTCAGT